GTGTATGTGAGATAGAGAAAAATAGAATAGAGAGAGAGGTTCATGCATGGCGGTGCTATCACCATGCACATTCAGTCAGAGAGAAACAGAGAGAAAGATCGACAAGAAGAAGAAAGAGAGAGAATGGGACACACACAGCGCTGTCATCGCCGTGTGGGTTAGAGAATGAGAAGGCAGAAGATGACATGCACTGCTCTGCCATAGCCGTGCGTGTCTACAGAGAAGAAGAGAGAGAAGCCGAGAAAAAAAGAACGAAAGAAAAGAGAGAGAAAGCAAGAGAGAGAAAAAAAAGGAGGAAAGAATAAGATAGAGATGAGTGGAGAGAGAAAGAGAGAGACGAGAGGAGGAGAGAGAAAATTACCTTACCGAAGGATACCAGCCCCATGAATTCAAAGAAGAAAACCGAACTTTATTGATCAATTGAAAGGAAATCAGGGAAGACTCAGGGAAGCTTTTTACAATTAGGTTTAGCATGTATTTATAGAATTGGGCCCAAACATGGGTGGATGCCCAACACAATCTCAATTGATGATAATTACAATTATTTTGAATTAAAATAAATTCTAAAAGTGGTGCAAAATGACTGCTTTGCCCCTGCTACTGCTCTAGAACGTACGTGATCTTCTGTGGATGATCCAGGATTGCTCTGGTGCTCGTTTGTCAAAAAGATGATTGTTTTCTTGTAGGGCTCGGCATGTCAATCGATTTGATACCAACTTCAAGCCATGGATCATGTTTTTAAGCCACGATCATGCGACTTGAAATTTGGATGGATCTTGAAAACTTCGGATCGATAGTGCGCTTGTTCCTAGAAGTTTCTTCGTGATTTCTTCACTGGATCACACTAAGCATTCAGTGAAGATCGTGTGGCAACAAATACAACTCGATTTCATGCCTGGACGAAGATTTCACAACTTTTGAGTTTTGACGAGAATATAAAATTTCGACATCAGAATTTTTAGTCACTTTATTGGATTTGTGTGCGAAATCTGACCGTTCATCATGCACATGGTACAAAACAGAGATAGTCCTAGACCTTACGCACACGATGGAACTAGTCGCACGTCAATCTGACGCACGAGAGCTGTGATTTGGCCACTCGAGTGAGGCGTGTCGCTGCTCATTTTCCTGCAACTTTCTTCACGGATCAGCAATTTCTCTCTAGCTTTTCTCCTTGTTCGGGTGTCGTCACGGGGCGTGCCACATATCAAAATGCTTGTCTTGACGAGACGAACATACTCAAAAAATTGAGCACGATCCGACTTAAGATGAATGAGATATGGCATCCGAAAGTCACTGCCCGAGACTGTAAAACCAGCTGCATTTAATGGTGATTTGGGACAGGGAGGGCGCATGGGAATAGTGTGCGGTCTACCCCTTTTTACTCTTTTACCCATAACTTTGTCTTGGAGTGCCCTGTTAAGCCGAAACTGTACCCATAGGGGTTTTCTACTATTTCGGATCCAATAGCGGGGTCCCATAGCAATTTGAAGCACCAAAAATAGAGCTCTAGTTACGGGGTCCATTTTGGGGTGCAAGAGATTAACTTTTTCGAAATTGTTTCTTTGTCTGCACTGCCTTAGACATGTTGGATTGCAACAAAACTTAGCAGGTGCCCTTTTGAAGTGCTTGAGAACATTCTGACTCATTATGGGGCAGTTCTTAGACTATCGAGAATTCCATTGTATGTCACCAGCTTCCTCTTTATTTAGCATCAGGGACCAAGGTGCTGAAAAATGTCTTCAAACAGCTTGCCCCGCCGAATGTTGTGTTTAGGGAGAAGCGAGAAGGACAACATTCGAAAACTTTCCTTCGGCTTTATTACTATTTTCTTTCTAGCCACAGGACCACGTGAACGCCGAGGAGATCCATGCAATGTTGTAACTAGGATGCTCAGACGTTTGGATTGTACAGGTCCATCCGTGGAGACTTTAGGGGGAGAAAAGACTTTTCTGATGATCCTGTCGAAGTCCCTCATGGGACTAATTGTGATTCTGATAGCTGAGGATTTTGTACGGACCTCGTTGATCAGAATCAAGCCCGTCTAGCGGTCGAGTGCCATGCTTAAGGGCATTTTTCCCATTTTGGTTTGGTTTTGTTTGTCATGTTGTTAGTGGTCTGCTGAAGGGCCTTTGGTTGGCGACCATCTGGGTGATGCACCAGATTGTACTCGGTGGGTAGGGTACCTCACTTTATAGAGGTGACCAGCTGTGGGTATAACCCATGCATATTGCTTGCAGTTTTGTTTGCATAACGGGTCCAAGTTCTGGCTGACTTTGGTCTTCTTGGGGCATCTCTTGGAGTGTGTTTGTGACCTCGTGGGAATAGTGCTCTTCCTCATGAGACTTGTCTTACCTTCTTGGTGAGTCTTTTGTCTTTAGAGTCCTTTTTGGAAATGGACTCAGGCTATCGGAATCTTTCTTAATGCTCGTAGTTTTGGGTCCTGGTATTATGACACCAATGATTTTTATTTTGAATGTAGGCTGAAGACGCCTGTTGTGGTGAGTGTTGCATCAACCTGTTTATTGGTCCAAGCGTCCTTTATAGATTTTCACTTGGACTTGGGAAGCGTCGTCGTAGAGACAGTTTACCAACTTCTTTTTATTGGGGCTTTTTTACCCATGACCTTTCGGCCATGTCCACCCTTATTTTTTCATTTTTACACACGCTGCCCTCTTAGGTTTTCACCATGCTTGGGTTTTTATTCACGAAACACTTTTAGTCATGGTTTTGTGACCATGCCTGTCCGTCATTTACTCATGGCATTCCCTTGTCCAGGTATACACCATGCCCATTATTTTTGTGAAGGAGTGTTTAAGGTCATGCCTTCGGGACCTGTGCGAAGCCTTTTAACATCATGCAGCCAGGATGTGCACTACAATTTAAGGTCATATGGCTATATCATAGTGGAGATAAATGGCAGTCTGTTGAGGCCATGGAGTGAGTATGGTACTGGTCTTGACTAACTTTGGGGAGATGGCACGAGGCTATCTATGAAGGATGGATGATGTATGAATGGAAGGTGGAAAGTGGTGACCCACTAGCTGACGACGAGTATGGATGGTAGGATGGTTTGCCGTTTTGTGAACTCGGGTGAGACTCACTGGGAAATGATGAATGGTAATGAAGGAATTCACTGGGGAGTTGATGAAGGTGATGTACGCACATGGACAGGTCAGTTGGGAAGACGTGTGTGAAAATGCACGTAAAAGGCATGTTCGCGTGTGTGGGGATGAGTTTAAGGTCATGCCTCTGGGACCTGTGCAAAGTAGTTTAACGTCATGCGGCCAGGACGTGCACTATGGTTTAAGGTCATATTGTTTGGATTGTGGTTATGTAGTTTAGAGTCATGCAACTAGGACCATGCAGTTTAAGGTCGTGCAACTAGACCTCTGCTACAGTAGAAGGTCATATAGTTTGGACCATAGTGCGAAGCCTTTTAACGTCATGCTGTTAGGACGTGCATTCCAAATTAGGGTGGGTCATACAGCTGGACTGTGGCTACACATTTTAAGGTCATGGAGTATGGACCATGCAGTTTATGGTCGTGCAACTAGACCTCCACTATAGTTTAAGGTCATATAGTTTCGACCATGTTGTTTAAGGTCGTGCATTTAGAAAAAGGTTGTGCAATTTAAGGTCATGCAACTCAGACCAAGGCTGTGCAGTTTAAGATCATGCAGCTCAGACCATGGTGTGGGTCGCCCAGTAGGTGAAGCTTTATGGGGATTGGTCAGTGGATAGTTATCTGACTCCCTGGGGATAGAATGATTAAGGCCAGCAGGGGTTTAGATGGAGAAGCATACTTCACTAGGGGTTAGGGGACAAGTATGACTCCCTAAGGTGAAGGAAGGAATTCCATGGGGAATAGGTTCATGGAAGGTAACCCGACTCCTGGGGATGAGATAGCTTGGTGCGAGACTGACCCATAGGGGATTAAAGGGGTAAACATGACCTTAACTCCGCTGGGGATCAATGGGCTGTAGTACGGGTGTAGTTCTTACAGGGGATGAGGGACAGTGGATTGCTCCTGACTCCATTGAGGATGACCAGTCATGGCCTGGGTCGAACGGCTTGGATGCAACTCCACTGGGGATGATAGAGGCTACGGCTTTGATGCAACTCCACTAAAGATAGTGGTAGAATACTCACAGTGATGATCAAGTTTAGACATGTGCGGCGCTAGCCACACACTGTAGCAACATACATGACGATAGTCATTCTCGCACATAACGCTAGCACGAGCGACCTGGCATGCATGGGAGTGGCCACGGGCAGCAGTAGTACTGGCACGCGAAGTGTTGGTTGCACGTAGCGTTAGTCACGCTCAACGATACAGAACACATCTGTCTTTTAGCTTGCATTTCGAGCCTCAGGCTTGAGCCCGATCCGATCCGTTTAAAGGTCGATGCTTGACGTTGCACAGGTAGTAGTAAGCCTCTATTCGAGCCTCGGGTCTGAACCCGACCTAGCCCATCCCATCTGAAGGTTGGTGATCGGCTTTGCGTTGTCAGTAGTAGGCCTCTGTTTGGGCCTCGGGTCTAAGCTTGACCCAGTCGTGCCCATCGCCAATTGGCCTTCAGAGACCTGTCAGGTATTCTTGCTTTGTGAGGGGTACATTGGTGAAGCTTTCCTATATAAGGGGATTAACCCCATTTTCCACTATTTTTATCTCAAGTAAAACAGTAACCGTGAGAGAGAGGAAAGGACTTCCAGTGAGAACTTCGGTGTCAGTAAAGTACTCGGGTGAGGGTTTGCAAGTTGTCTGGCAAGCAGGAGAAGTTTTCGACCGTGAGCGAGAGCACCGGAAGGGAAGACATGCATAGTCGCAGTGGTTGTCGTCGCTGGAATTGAGGAGCAGGCAAATTGCCGAGGTGAACAGAGGTTCCTACAGTGATTCTTGAGATACCGAAGAGATGCGAAAGAGGCAAGTGCAGGTCACCGGGGCATTCCGTAGATTCCCGATTGTTTCCCGATGGCTTTCCGTCACCGAGGAGTAGTGGAAGAGTAGCAGTGGCGAGCAGAAGTTTTTTCCAGCGTCAGCAAGTAGTGAAATAGGTGTCACAATTGGTTTCCATCGAGTAGGAAAACGGTTTCCCGGTGGGCAACTGAAGGTCGTTGGGAAAGTAAACAGCCGCAAGCAGCCGGACAGTCGTGGGGAGACGAAAGGTTGCCGCGGATTCTAGTCGTCACTGGAAAATGAGGAGTCTGGGGAAAGTGCACAATCGTCGGGGGACGAAGGGTCGTGGGAAGGTGAAAGGTCACCATCACGAGTGAACACGTGCGGCAACAGTGAACACAGTCGGCATTACACCCTTTGTCCAATAGAGTCGGTGTTACCCCTCTTAATCACAGCCGGCGTTAGTCCTCAAGAAGTGCAATTGGCGCTGGGCTTTAGAGACACAAGCAGCGCTAACTTCAAGCGGCGCTTATCAGTGCCTCAGTCGCGCATGGCCAACAACATGACGCATACGGCGTTTATCACGTGTGGCGGTGGCTGTTCACTTGAAGATCCTTTCATGAACGGCAGTTAGTTGCTTTTGACTGTGGTTATACTCGGTGAAGAATTGCGCGTGGTGATTGTCATACACAGCGATGACTTGGGTAAGCAAAGGGTGATGGCCAATGGTAAGGCCGTGTTTATGATGCCTGTTGGAAGTTAAGTCCTCCAGCACGACAGTAAAGTCTATCTTGTTCTGTGGAAGGGCCCTTACTATGAACAGGGTAGGCTCTCCATCATAGGCCAGTTCCTTGCTAGAGAAGTCTGCTTCGTATGTCTGGTATAGCCCATCAAAGCTCTTCCACCTTCTCCTATTGTGAGAGTCACTTTTGGCCTGTAACTGTCCTCTTCTCCTCAGATGCAAGAGCAACGCTTCTGACATGAGAGCAATTTTTAGCCTATAACCATTCTCTCCTCATATGCAAGAGCAACGTTGGGGGTAGTCGTTCTCTTTTCCTCGGATGCAAGAGCGACGCTTGGGGTCAACCGTCTTCTTTTCCTTATATGCAAGAGCGACATTCCTATACTGCAGCTGAACTTTATTGATCAATTGAAAGTCTGAAGGGGAATCTTGGAAGAGCCAGGGAAGCCCTTTACAATTAGGTTTAGCATGTATTTATAGAATTGGGCCCAAACATCGGCGGATGTCCAAAACCTATCTCATTTGATGATAATTACAATTATTTTCAATTAAAATAAATTTTAAAAATAGTGCAAAATGATTGTTTTACCCTTGGCTCACAATTCATGGAATTCCAATACAGTCCCTACTGTTGCCCCAAAACGTACGTGATCTTCCGTGGGTGATCCGGGATTGCTCTGGTGCTCGTTTGTCAAAAAGATGACTCGGTAAGGCGATCAATTTGATGCCAACTTCGAGCCATGGATCATGTTTTTAAGCCACGATCATGCGACTTGAAATTTGGATGGATCTTGAAAACTACGGATAGATAGTGCTCTCATTCCTTGATGTTTCTTCATGATTTCTTCACCGGATCACACTAAGCATGTCGTCACGAGCACGTGGCAACAAATGCAGCTCAATTTCGTGCTCGGACAAAGATTTCGCAACTTTTGAGTTTTGACCGGAATCTGAAATTTCGGCACAGAAATTTACAGTCACTTTCTTGGCTTTGTGTGCGAAATCTGACCGTTCATCATGTACGGAGTTCGGACCAGAGAGAGCCCTAGACCTTACGCACACGATGGAACTAGTCTCGCATCAATCTAACTGCGAGCGCCGTGATTTGGCTGCTCGAGCGAAGCGTGTCGCTGCTGATTTTTCTACAACTTTCTTAACGTTCTCCTTGTTCGGGCGTTCTCACGGGGCGTGCCATATATCAAAACTCTCATCTTGATGAGACGAACACGCTCACAAAATTTGAACGCGATCTGACTCAAGACGATTGAGATATGGATATTGTTCGAGACTTTAAAAACAATCACCTTTAATGGTGATTTGGTGTGAGGAGGGTGCACGGGAATAGTGGGCGGCAGACCCCTTTTTGGTCTTTTACCCATAACTTTTTCTTGGAGTGCCCGATTAAGTCGAAACTTGACCTATAGGGATTTTCGACCGTTTCGGATCCAATGGAGGTGGTCCCATAGCAATTTGACGCTCCAAAAATAGAGCTCTAGTTACGAGGTCCATTTCAGGGTGCTAGAGACTGATTTTTCTGAAATTGTTTCTTTGTCTGCAATTCCTTTGACATGTCGGATTGTAATGAAACTTGGAAGGTGGCCTTTTGAAGTATTTGAGAACATTTTGACTCGTTCTGAGAAAGTTCTGAGACTGTCGAGAATTTCACTGTATGCCAAGGCTTTATTGATCGGCGTCCTCTTTATTACGCATTAGCGACCAAGGAGCTAAAAAATGTCTCCAAACAGTCTGCTTTTGGGAGCCATTGAAAAACATCCAAATATTTTCGAGTATGTCAAGATTCGATCTGGTTGGCAAGGTAACTCAGCCGAGGCGATTTCTAATCTACTTTCTACATTTTTAAGTCTACTTCCGAGCTATTTGATCTCCAATAGACAATTGAGCTGGTGCATAGTAAATAAATTTCATTTTTTTTTTCAAATAACATGATAGAGCAATATGGTGCACCATGATTCGTGTAGTCGATCTCAATTAGTTGAGAAAAAACTCTAATGATGATGACAATAATTTTTATATCAAATAACAAATAAAATTGGGCTAAAATTTTGAGTGCAGCCCCATTTGGGTGTACCTGAAAAAAATATAATTCTAAATTAGAAAATGGTGAACTTACATGCGCATAAATATTGGTTATTTCAAATTTTCTAATATCTTAGGTGTGAGACGGTGACAAATACACACGTCCAAAATTTCAAATCTCTCATATATAGAAAGTAATTAAAATCCACTCTTGGCCTCACTAGTAGAGCTGGAGTTATTCTTATATCTCCTCGACAAGACACTGTTGGGTAAGCTTTCAGTACATAAATATGAGAAGCAATTATGTAGCACAAACCCCCAATATTCCTTAAAGGACAGCATGCTTCACTCACTGTGAAAGTATATATACAGAATAGGATCATCACCACCGTTTGCTTCAATGATACGTGGAGTAATATTGATCTTATATTTTCTTTTTAGGAAATTGTTCTTATTTATATTGGTCTTTCTATTTGAACAATAATCGTGAAATTATGGCGGAACAGTTTGCGATTCTATGTCATACCCACCATACAAAGTGCGTATGGCATAGTTTCCCTTTCATCAGTTATGTGTGCTATTGCAAGAACCATATAGGATTGATTACCTCCTTCCAATCCACTCAGTATATTCAGATTCAATAATTGTTATTTAGAATGCTACATATTGACTTTGAACAATTTCATATACATTTTGGATTAACATGTAGAAAATGGCAGGCCAATTTGTCGGACTGTATTGGATGCAGTGTTTGTTTTGGAGGAAATTGTTGGTTTTGATCAAAGGGACAAGAAAGCTACAATAGCATCATCCAAGTTCATACCTGCTGGGGGTTACAAGCAATTTCTCAAGGCAGAGGGTCTTAGAGAGAAACGATTGGGGATCCTAAGAGAGCCTTTCTTCAATTTCTCAGGGACATCTGTGTTAGCACAGACATTTGAAACCCATTCTAAAACATTAAGGTACTAATTAGAGAAGCCACTTGAAATTTAATATGATGTATTATGATCATTGAATAACTGAGATAGAAGAGAAACTGAATACTTCCGAACTTGAGTATCAGTTTTGATATCGTTCAGAAGAAAAAATATCATGTAAGCCCGCATCGTTATACTGTCATATAAGTCACTTTCAAACCTAGGGATCCGTTCGGCCCAAATTTTGCACTCACGTTGGCCTCATCTAAAATATCAAATTTATGAAAAATGAAAATAATTAACTATATAAATTTGCATACAAAATACAAGACAATGAGGCTCCCATTTGGTGTATAAGAGATCTAGGACTGCATCAACTTAAAACAATTTGTTTTAAAATTGTTTATTTTTCATATCCAAGTTGTACTCAAAATTTGAACCAGGAAAGATCCCTTTAGCTATGTTTTGGAGCTCAACCTATACTATAGCTATAAGCCTGTTGGAGTGTAGAAGTTATTCCCTCTAACTAAATTTTCATAAGGATGTATTTTTCTTTGTTATCCTAACATTGCACTTATTTTATTTTGCTTTTTGTCTTCTTTAAAATAAAACTCATCTAAATGACGAATATTGATTGAAAATACAACTTATAAAGAAAATATGAGTTGCAGATAGTATGAGAAAAACTAGATTGCAAAACCTCAAAATTCAAACACCATTGAAAGCTAAAGTTCCATTTTTCTTCTGTTTTTACTTGTTTCCTTTAAATTTCTTCCATCTTATGTTCTGTTAAAAAAAATTCCTAATAGTTTTCAAATTATTATGGGGAATTATCAAATTTTGACAATATGCTATGGAATAACCGCATCAGAAAATTTTCAAATAGATTTATGATATGCTTTTGGTTTTGTCGCAAGCAAAAGGGAGCCATTCTGGTAGATAACATAGAAATGTCAAATATTAATGTCATTTTGGATGTTCGAGAGAGCGGAGAAGGGTTGGCATTGCTCTATGAGTTCAAAAAGGCATTGAATGCTTACTTGTCTAAACTACTGGTTTCTCCTGTTAGGACATTGGCAGATGTGATTGCTTTCAATATAAAGCATTCAAAAGAGGTATCTCTTGCCCTCGCCCCCATCCCCTTCCCCTTCTCTACTTTAATTATAGAACTTGATGTTGTTCTATCCTCATTTAATTTCTTTTGAACGTTAGCCCTGGATCAAATTGACTTCTACTTTTATTTTAACATACTAGGGTGTTCACTCTTTTCTTTTAGCAGTCCGAAATCTATCAAAAGGGTAAACGATTCCCTTCCCATTTTAAATAATTCAAAAAGAAGAAGAAAAATTAGAAGTATAGTAGATCACTCTTTGATGGGTAGTAATTGTTGCATCAAAAAAACACCCCAACAAGAGCCGTTTTGGTAGTACTTTGGTATATCAGGGTGTTGGGATAAGGCTCTGATGAAGATGATGATATTACATCAGAGTGTTCACTCTTCTTCAACATATGTTCCATTTTTAGATCCTCCTTGTGTGAAGGATGCCTCAAATTACCAAAAATAAATATCAAAACCAATATTTTACTTTTGTTCATGATTTGCAGTAGACATGAATACACCTTTTCAGTTGGTTCAAACCTGAGCTGAAGCAAGATCTAGCAGGAGTAACTCAATCCAAAAATAACTCTGAATTGTTAAGGACAATGTTAACCAAACTAGTGCGATAGTATATTCCTTCATCTGACTTAAACCTCCAAAGTGGATGGGTGGCTTGTTACAAAACTATGTAAGTACTCTATAATAGGTCAAAAAGAAATAGCGCAGGTTGCATCCTTTGAACATACAATTGAAATTCCTAGTTATGGGGAAAACATGAAATATGTTCGTTTGTTTTCTTGGAAATATGGAATAATATATTCTATAAAGAAAGATGATTTTGTATTATATCCAATATTTTCATGTTCCTTTTAGCACTAGTCAAAAAAATAAAAAAATGGGGGAGTGAGGACTTCTATGTAAATACTGAATATTTTGTTAGCAGACTATAATTACTGCAACCAATAATGGGATGGACATAAATTTCCCTTAAAAAATAAAAAATTTATAAAAATCCAAAAATATAATAATTTATTTGTAATATGTTTCTTTATGTTTTTATCATTTTTGTAAAATATTGAAGTGTTTTGGCCCTCAATACTTATTTTTACATTTTCCTTTCTTTTTAGATTATTATTAAAATAACCCCGATCACAAAATTTATTCTTTTAAAATCCATTTTTTTTTTACTACTTTTTAAACCTCATTTAGATGTGTTTTCTTTAATTTTACTTTAAACATGTTTTAGAACTTTTTTGGATATTTTGGGATTCTTTTGTATTGTTTTATTTTTAACACTTTTGCCCTGGCTGGACCCTGGCCAACCGGGGCCAAATAACTTGGAATTCAGCCGAGTTAACCTGGGCTCGACTCATGGCCGACTTCCATCCCCAAGTCGTGGTTTTCCAACACTGATCCTGATAGATGGTTATTTGGCACCGGAAGCTGAAAGAGTATGGACAAGACATTTTCATACAGGCTGAGAGCTTAAACAGGTCAAACAGTAGCCAAGTAAAAAGGGCCATATCAAATCTCAAAGAGTTATCAAGAAATGGTGTTGAGAAGGTGATGAGGGAGAAGAAATTAGATGCTATTCTGGCTCCTGCTGATACTCCTGTCTATACCATATTAGCAATTGGAGGTTATCCTGGGATCACTGTGCCTGCTGGCTATGACGAGGAAGGTGTGCCATTTGGGATTTGTTTTGGTGGACTCAGGGGCTCAGAGCCCAAGTTGATTGGGATCGCCTATTCTTTTGAGCAAGCAACACACATTAGAAGGCCTCCAACCTTCAAGTCTTGATACAAATGTTTGTGTTTTGCACTTTATAGTACGACGCACTTTTATTTGAAGATAAATACAATGCATCCCGATGATTGGTATTAATGCATCTAAATTGGTCGCTTGTCTGAATATTAATTATGTGGGAATTTTTTTTTCCTTTGTTTTTGGAGTAGTTCAGTGTTAAGAATAGAACTTGGGATGTAGCGTTGCTGGATATCAACTAATAACCACTCAAGCCCAAGCCTATTCCCATTGTGCTTTTAATGTTTGAATACACACAAGAAAATGAGTTCAAGTGATATTTTGCTTCTTTTCTATCTATAAAATTTATGATACGAAAATCATACAAGGAGACCATTCACTTTTAGTACAAGGAAGTCATAATCGCTCTTGTCCGTTGGATTTCAAGTCGGATAGTTGTAAAGTGTTGTTGACTAAACTTAGAGTTATAAATAAAAGATAAAAAATTCTCAAACTTTGTGAGACACCCCAATGTATCCAATTTGACATGTAATAGCCAGTAACATTATTGACGTCCTTGTACCAAAGATAACTGGCTCATTGTATACAATACCTTTATGATATGAATACTCTTAAGATACTTAACTGAATCTTTCGTTCGTGGTAGATCGATGATTACTTGAACTTTGTTAATCCAAATCCATTAATATTTCCCGGCTAATAGGTTCCATAAACACTTGGTTTTATCTTAGTATAATTTGATTGTTAGTATAGTGCACTAGTATTACTTTTATCCTATGGCATTGTATACTATGAAATCATTTATTTTTTGTACAAGGTCACAGTCATTATAAGCTATTAGATGTGAAATTCAATAGATTAAAGTATATCATAACATTTGAGATTTTTTTTTTGGACTTTGTGCCCAAATATCCTCAACTCTTAGATTTCAAATATAACAATCAATAATAATTGTGACTTCCTTGTATAAAAAGTCAAATCATACATTTTGTTACTACAATGCACTATTTCAGGTTCCATGTTTACATTATGCAGGATGTTACTTTTAGTTTAATGATATAACTTCAAGAAAATCTCAAACCAATGAATAACCAAAAAAAGTCATATCCTAAATATAAAAATATAAGGGAATCATCCTATTAGAGAAAATAACAAAACTCTAAATAGCTTTGTTTACGCATGAAACTTGGGCTAGAAAGAACTATGTTTCTTCCAGCTCAGTTTACGGGATACAAAATCAATAAAAATTAATAGAAAAGGTTCATGTCATATTATCAATGTTATCAAACTCACTTCGCTTCGGTCGAAGAGGTCGAAGCCTTCAGATTTTAAGCATAAGCCGAAGCGAAGAGCAGCATGTTGCCGTCGCTTCGGTCAAATTCGGGCCACTTCTGGTTAGTCAGCCTACTTTGGGTCTGCTTCGGCCGAACCTTTGGGCTGCTTCAGTCAAAAAAGAAATACCTATTTAAAAATATTTTTTATTTTTTTATTTTTATATATAAATATCTAATTTATTTATATTAGTTCTTTTTAAAAAAGTTCTAAGTCTCCCCCTTATCTGTCCAAATACCGAAATACTTCATTTTCTCACCAAACCAAAAAAAACTCTAAAACGAATCCGACAACATTGCATATTACATATGACAAAACGTTGGCCTATAACTTTCCGTCATAGTCCGACCATACTAGCAGGACATTCGCCACATAGCCAAGGAGAAGATTAGAGAAACTTTAGAAAACAAAGAAAAAGGTTTTAGAAAGCGTTTGAAAAAAAAAAAAAGACAGTTATGCAAACAAATCAAAGAAAATGAAAAGAGAAAAAGGAAAAGATGTGAAAGTACTTGATAAGCTGGGCACACAGGTCTAACACCAAGAGTTGAGGTTTAAATGGGGGCCATTGTTTTGGTCGTATAAGCTAGAGAAGATTGTGTTTGGAGTTGGAATAAGATTTAAAAGTACTAAGGCCAAGGTACGCTGGTCTGAGCTCCACCTAATGGTAGGTTTTGTTTTTTTGTTTTTAAAAAAAGTAATATCATTTGGATAAGGGTCTTATAATCATAATAAGACTGATATTAAAAACATTATGTTGCAACACCCAACACCTTCAACACCTATGCCTTCAGTCCATTCCTAGGTTTTAAGGATTTTGGTGAGTTTAAGGTCCTGGAAGAGTTGGGTCGAGGTTTACTAGAATTATAAGATATCTTAGAAGGTCTATAGTTAGGGTTATGGTTGCCTGGAAGGTTTGCCTAAAGGATTTGTGCAATTACGAAAGTTGGCTTTTTAGGGCTAACTAATTAGCGTTTCCTATTGATGGGGATCCTATGGTAGTTTTAGATGTTACTTGAGACATATGGAGCACATGATATGGTGCACCATGGGCTAATACTATGTCACTGGCACGATGCAAACCATAGTTACCAGAGTGCCCAACTAGGATGGCACTCCCACTCCAGAACCTAGCTCCTGCGTTTCATGACCAGGATCTCGAACGGAACTTAATTTAAATTTTTCAGGAGCTGGCTCATATTTATAGGATTCTCGATCCCATGCATAAAGGATCTCGATCCCACAGTCCCACAGAACGCGTTCCTTAAATCGTAGATCTCTTTCCAAAATAAATTAGATCTCTGCGTTCTCGACAGTCATCCTTACATTCTTGGAACTTCCTAAAAGAAACTTTTTAAATAATATTAACTTTTAAAATAAAATAATTATATTTTAACCCAAATTTTCATACAAGTGGAGCCCTACGATGGGAGCACAGACTAATCATGCATGGAATGCGATCCTTCCTTGAATGATGCTCTATTCTTTCAAAATAGGAACATGGTTATTCATAGATGGGGGCGCTATTTGATGGAAGCTCAATCTTAATGAATATAGGAACACGATCCCATTAGATATGGAACGCGTATCTATTAAATAAAGATCTAGATTCCGATGTATTGGGAACACACTATCTGTTCATACGAGATCTCGATACGCTACTTTTACCCTCACCGAAATTCTCTTTCCGAACTTTGTAGCTTTTGCCAGCCGTCAATCCGATGCTCCCGCTCCCTAGAGCAAGAGTTGTTCCCGCTCTCTAAACCAGGAGTTGTTCCCGCCCAAGGTAACTATGGTTCAAACTAGGAAGGGAGTCCTTGGAGGGGAACAAAATTACGTTTTAGGTTTAGGATAGTTCTGGGGAAGTGATAAGGACTGACTGGATAAGGACTGACTGGCCCTATGGTTTAGGTTTACAAGCTCCAAACAAGCCCTTTAGCCAATGTAGGATATCAAGCTGGTAACTGTGTTTTCTTCTAAAGTCAGCCGTAAACCAATAAATATATGAAAATTCCAGCCCAAGATATTAATACACATGAAAGAAATTTCCAATTGAATCTAAAGGGATAAAATAAAGGAATCAGCTAGTTTTGAGCTGTTCAAAATAGGGAACAGAGCAGTTTGGAAGTTCAAAAATGGCAAAACTCGCTTCAATACAAAGGAAAAAAAGAAAGAAAAAGAGGGGGATATTGTTTTAGTGGTAGTAAATCCTATACCGCAATTATACGTTGTGATTTTCATTCTCACTGACACCTTTAAAAACTACTAACTAATTTAAAAAAGGTGGATTTCATTCAAACTGGCATCTTCAAAAGCTACTAACTAAGTTAAATCAGTAGGGGCTGTCTTCCCTATTGAATTACCCAAAAAAAAAAAAAAAGCCTTAATAAAGAATCTCGTCTTAAACCATGGCATACAACCTCCTCCAAGCTAAATATATGCATGTCATGGCAGTATAAGAATTCCACTCCCAAACCATGGCATAGAGCTGAGAGGAAGTCTTAAAGGAGGGAGAGGAGCTGGTTCGTGGTGGTAGTACACCCCATATCTTAGTTGCACGTTGTGGCTTTTACTCATAGCTTCAAAAACCACTAACTAATTCAAAAACGATTAGGGGCCTATTATCCCTACTTACTTACTTAAAAATAAATAAATAAATAATAATAATAATAATAATAATAATAATAATAATAATAATAATAATAATAATAATAATAATAATAATAATAATAATAATAATAATAATAATAATAATAATAATAATAATAATAATAAAGCCTTTGAGGAGAATCTCGTCGTCAAACCCTCATATATTGGCTAGTGTTTGTGATCTAGCCATTCCTCCAATGGTCTATTGCAGATCAACAGTGAGAAACTCCCTCATCTACAAAAAAGGCTAGACCTGAAAATGACAGCACGCTGGACCACAGTAGGAGGACCATCCGCTAGTGTATAAAATATTGCAACATACACTGGCGGTCCACAAACAATGGATACTTGTTCAAACCAGATTGCTTTGCCCCTCTTGCTTGTTATCTCTCCCTCTTTTGCCTTGAGATCAAGGAAGCCACAGTGAACGAAATTCAAGAAGCCTTCAAGCGCAAGGAGCTCACATCAAGAGACCTCGTCGAGTTCTATCTCCGAGAAATTAACGAGCTCAACCTGCTTCTACGTGCAGTGCTCGAGGTGAACCCGGATGCGATGGACCAGGCCGACATGGCTGACAAAGAGAGAGAGGCCACACATGGAGAGTGCGCCAAAGGGTTACATGGGATCCCGGTGCTGTTAAAGGGTAACATAGCGACACGAGACCAGCTCAACACCACGGCTGGATCACTTGCGTTGCTTGGCTTGGTTTGGTGGTGCCAGGCGTGGTCAGGAGGCTGAGGAGGGCAGCTGTTATCGTTATGGAGAAGGCAAGCCTTAGTGAATGGGCAAGCCTTACCCAGTCGAGTCCTAAGAAAAAAATACTTGCAATTTATGCCTTTTTTTAGGAGTAAGCTTTGTAAAAATACGCTTACACTAAAAAATTCAAATAAATGTTTTATTTAAATAAAAAAATAAAATGTGAGACTAACGTTTGGTCATTGGATATGACCATACGAGATCTTAACCATTGGAAGGGTCTGTCCACTTGATGTGGACGGGTACTTTCCCTTTTTAAGTTTGTTTTTAAATGGTTCCTTTGCATTTGTTAATGTTCTACC